CCACATAAACATGTTTATATTTTACGGTTGTATAATTATCTAATTATAACGATTACGCTTTTGTGTCCGATGAAAATTAAAGCAGCCGGAACCAATTATGAAATAACTTTCGCGCGGCTTTCAATTGGTTTTAAATATAAATCTTCTTTTTGAGTTAAAGTTAAATAGGTTTTTATTTAACCATACAGCTTTATAACTCCGTTATATTCTTTTATTTTCTTTTCAGACTTCGGTCTCGGGTCTCCCAGTATTTAACTTGTTTTTTGCCGAATAAAAGTTTCTTTCAATTCAATTCAATTTCTTCGATTATTCCATCACAATTTTTATAAAAAATAAAAAAACTGATAAAAATGTTTTTCTGTATGATTTTTTAAAAAAAAACATTTTAAAACATATCCATTGAATGAATGAATGAATGAATGAATGAATGAATGAATGAATGAATGAATGAATGAATGAATGAATGAATGAATGAATGAATGAATGAATGAATGAATGAATGAATGAATGAATGAATGAATGAATGAATGAATGGAGAAATAAATAAACATATAAATCGATCGATCAAGAAGAAACAAAAGAAGTACAGAAGAAAAGAGGAGCTAAATATAAGGCATGGGAGTTCACAAATCGTTAATGTAACAGGCCAGCTAATTCAAGACAATCAATCCGAATGCAGCAACTAGAAAACAAATATAAACAGAAAAAACAGAGATCCATCTATGCTAATAGGAAGGCCGTTAAAAATTATGAGACAAACTTAGCAGGTAACATAAAAATTAATAAAGATTTTCAGCTACGTGAGGAGTAGGCAAAATCACAAAGACAGGATAGGCTCCCTTCGAACTGAGAATGGTGTCGTTACTGATGACCAGCAAAATCGGATATACTCAACTCTTATTTTAGTTCTGTATTTACAAGGAAGATTTTTACATCTCTGCCAAAACCCAACAGTAACTTTGATGGAAATGAAATAAGGCTTCTGATAAGGTACCGCATGAAGGTTTGGCCTTAAAATTAGAGGCAGGTGGAATCACAGGAAACACACCCAAGTGGATTTTTAACTGGTTACAAGATTCTAAGAACAAGAAGAAAGTTTCTCAAACTGGAGCAATGTTACAAGTGGGGTTCCTAAAAGATCCGTATTAGGACCCTTACTATTTGTGATATACACAAACAATATCGATCTAGGAATAAAGTCAAAAATTTCAAAATTTGCAGATGACACTAAATTATGTGCTGTTGTAGACAACGATAAAGATATGGAAATTCTAGCATGCGATTTGCAAAAAATATGCAAATAGGCAGAGGATTGGCAGATGGTATTCAACACTAACTAATGTGCACAGTCATACATATGGGAGCAAACAACAAGGCAAACGTATTCAAACTTTGAGACATGCCACAAAAAATGTAGAGGAGGAAAATTGCAAACAGGACTCTGAGTATGATAAAAAAAACAGTGAAAAGCAGAGATATGATCGTCATATTAAACCTATGTAAAGCATTAGTTCGACCTAAGTTGGAGTAATGTGTTCAGCTTTGGAATGGTATTCAATACCGACAAATGCGTAGTCATACATATGGGAGCGAACAACAAGAAAAACGTATTCAAACTAGGAAACACACCACTAAAAATGTAGAAGAGGAAAAGAGTCTTGAGGTGATAATCCATCGGAATGGTAAGGTAGCGTGGAAATGCATCGAGGAAGCTAAAATGCAGACATACGCTTGAGAGTAATCAAAGGAGGGCAACAAGATTGATGAAGGAGTGTCGCGGTACGCCATATGAAGACATATTAAAAGTTTGTGGATTGACAACATTAGAAAAAAAAACAAAAGGAGATTTGACTCAGGCATACAAAATTGTCACTATGAAAGAAAATTTGGATCAGCGAATTTTTTTGAGCTTAAGATGAACAGTAAAACAAGGGGGCATAAATATAAGATCTTTAAAAAAAGCTCGGATCGATAAAGCAGTAATTTTTCAGCCACAGAGTTGTGAACGAGTGGAACAAACTGGTAGATGAAATAATATGTACAGAAACAACTAATAACTTTAAAGCAAACTTGGCAAAAGTACGATGTTAAAAAAAAGTTTCAGAGTGGTACTGTCACAGATTTAGTCTTCTTAATCTTTGTTACGTTATGTTCAATAAAGACGTAATAATTGTATTTATTTATTATTTACTTATTTAAATAATTAACGAAAAAGCAAGCTTTGATGACACAAAGCAAAATTTTTTTTACAAAAATAATGATAAAACAAATCAAGATGAAATTTCGAAAACTAAACATCTGCAGGCCTGCATAGAGTTTTTGAGACACACATACGCACACACACGCAAACAAATACTTATGTATGTATTTATATGTGTGTGTGTGTTTGGTTTGTGGGTTTGTGTTTGTTTGATATGTGTGTGTCAGAGAGAGGGAAAGAAAAAACAGAACGATAAAAAGATAACGAGAAAAAGAAGAAAGAGAAAGAGGGAGGAGAGAGAAAAATAGAATGAGAGAACAAAAAAATACAATTTTTTCATTTTACAAATAAACAAACAGCAAAATGAAATAAAATTTATAGCAAAAATTAAATTAAAACAGCATCAGGACAACAGGAGCACAGGCATTTTACATAGAAATAAAAATATTTAGACCCGTAATTTAAAAAATCATAATAATAATAATAATACAAAAATATAAAGTGTCTAAAATTAATGAACTCATTCCCACAATTACAATAATCATAATATTAATTATATTTAAAATAATATTATTATTATAATGGCCTCAAACTAAAAGTTTAAACGTCCAAATAAAATCAAAATCATCCGTCAATAATACATTAATGAAATATTAATTAGATAAATTGTTGTGTTACGTTATTACACATACAAAGTATGTACTCTCAAACAAATAAGTATTAAAGATACACCGATCGAATAGTTGATCCACAGTTTGCCCGAAGCCGAAGGCTAAAACCCAAAAAACCCGGCAATTTTGAAAACTGAATGAAAAACTAGTTGATGAAAAGAAGCAGTAGGTGATTGATATCCACCCAACAATATTTCATCATTCAAACTTTCATTCAAATTCTGCCATGATAGCCAAAATAAATTTTCAGCTAATAAGAATCAATAATTATTGTTATGGAATCTAAAAATGTAACGGCTTATACCAAAATCGCAACATTCGGCCTAAAAATGGTCGAAAAAATTGGCCCAAAAGAAAAATGTCCCAAAAAAAATTTTAGCCAATAAGAATTAACAATATTATTGTTCTGAAATCTAAAAATGTGACGGTTTAAACCAAAATCGCTACATTCGGCTATATTCAGCCTAAAAATAATTGAGATGCACCGAACATTCGGTGCATCTCTAATAAGTATCATAGAGTACTTAATAGCAAGGCACCAAATGGAATACACACGTATTTGTACTATACCAACGGTCGCATGGCATACACAACTAGTACAAGAACACATAAATTTGTATACACACACATACATTGTACGTGGAAATTGTATATACAGATCGTAATTCAAAATATAATCATAAATACGCATACATTATACATATGCACTATACAAATTGTATATACAATACATAATACAAGAATACCTAAGACGCGTATGGTATTTATTTGCTCTATACAAACTGCAGAATTTATTCTTGAAGATTCTACAGTAGACACGTAATTTTTATCGCAATTATAAAATACCTTTATTTAGCAATCAGATGACAGATGTGAATGGCGAGTGACAAATGTGAATGGCGTTGGGGGGTATTTCGGTTTCATCATAGGTAGCCAAACGGCAACCCCCGATCTCAGGGAAAATGTCGTCTAAAGGTGTGTTGTTGTTGTTTTGTTGTTTATTTAGCAATCACAAAATACCTATTTAACAGTAATTTACAATATTTGCACCATATTAATAAACATAATAATAATGTAATCAACAATAACATTGTTATTATTTTTTGTCTTAACTAACAACCAACACACACCACACACCCACTCACACACACATACATTGTAATAATAATTTTATTTACAATAATAATAATAAAAATAATAGGAAAAATAATAAAATGATTATAAGGAAACCAACAGTTAGAAGAGACGATTGATATTTACAATGCAATGCAAAGACTAGTCCGTTTATCATGTATTAATTATAATTGATTCATCCATCAAACTTAATTATTTAATTATAAACATATAAGTGATTTAGTGAGCTATTTATTGATCTAATTAATTAATTAAAATAAATGATCTTATACAGAACAATTTTTTCAAAAAACGTTTGTTGATTTAATTAATTATTCGGAAATTCAAATTTTATTTTCTCAATCATTAATGTAGATTTTTGTTTTGTCCTAATTTACCTGAACTAGTCATTCATTTTATTCGTACTGCCATTCATTCATTCATTCATTCATTCATTTCATTCTCTCAATCATTTTATCCTTCAATTGTTCATTTGATTTTTCATTCAATCGTTCATTCATCCAATCAATGATAAACAAAACATTTACCACATTCAATTCAGTAATCAAGTTTTATAATAAGTGAACAGTTCAATCAAACCTACGTACAATCATTCATTCATTCGTTCATTCAATCGTTCATTCATTCATTCTCTAATTCATTCATTCATTCGTTCATTCACTCATTTATTTTTATTTACAGTTAGCGCAGAGTTAATCAAGTTAACCGTAAACAGACCAAAGAATAATAAAAAAAAATTATCTTATTTACTATTTTATCTTTTCGTTATGATGTCTAGGTTGTTGTTGATAACGATGACGACAACGTCAACAACATTAATAATAATAATGATAATAATAAAAATAAGAATAATGATAATAATAATAACAACAATAATAATAAAATAACAATTTTCCTAGAAATAATTTAAGAGAAGGAAAACAAAAACAACAATAATAATAACAAATAATATAATAATGATAGTTATCATCAAATTTACGGTGTAATAACACCATCATCATCATCATCATCATCATCATCTTATCATCATAATCTTATTACCACCATCACGACACAACAATGGTGAGACCATCGCCATAGTCGTCACCACCATTGCCACCATCGAGAGTTGTGGTCGCCTGCTTCTGCTGGGCAAGTAGTTCGGGTCGTGACCTGTTGCTGGCCACAGAGGTGACCGAAGCCAGCAGGTACTCGTCCAACGTCCTCTCTGCACAGCTTGATATGAATCTGGTAATCATTCCAGAATTATTATTATCAGTAGTGATTATATTATAATAACTATTATTTAAAAACTATAATTCACAATAATTTATATGTATAATAATTATAGAGCAGAAGTTGAACTTATTATCATTGTTATTAGCATGACATCACCATCTGGCAAGCAAGCAAGGAGCACCTGATAAAAGGCCTGACGTCACCATTGTTGGCCGTCTCGAGGTACTGATAGTAGTTCTGCTTCTGTTCGACGGGCAGGATGATGGGAGGGTAGCCGGCCATCATCAGGATCAAATTCATCAGCAGACGACTCGTCCGGCCATTACCGTCGTAGAAGGGGTGGATGTAGACCAGTTTGTAGTGCGCCAGGGCCGCCATCTCGATAGGGTGCAGGGCCTCGAATGTCTCTTCCGAGTTAAGCCACTCGATGAAATCGTTCATCAGGTTGGTGATTTCTTGCGGAGGCGGGGGCATGAAGTTACCCACGAAGACTTGCGTCGTACGGAACACTCCAGAACCTATGGGGTCGACAAAACCGAGGACTCGTTTGTGTATCTGCAGGATGTCGTCCATCTTGATGGTGCCCAGTCTTTTGACCAGGGATGTGTTCAGGTAGTGCAGGGCTGCCTCCATGCCTGAGGTTTCGAAAATTTTAATTACACGAGAGTCGGTGGCGTGTTTAAGATGTGGGAAAATAATAATGGAGACTTTTTTAAATTTAAAAATGTCCTGGCGGGTGAGATTGAAGCAGACTAACGCAATGACATTCAACTATTTGAAATCTGAGTATGCCATCAAATTAATAATTACTCCTTCAATGCACATTCATTCAACACGCACCCGTTCACCCGTTCAATACAGATGCACTCAACATTCACCCCATAAAAACTCAACTGATCACCCTAACTCACCACAATTAACCCCCACCCTCCACAAACAAATATCCATCCATCTCCCCCACCCACCAAGTATCTCGTTATGTTCTATGATACTCTTTCCAGATATGACAATCCTGTTCTCAACGAAGGACCTCGTTTGTGACAGCGTGAACGTGTTGCCCTCCATGGCCGTCGTGTGGTAGATGTGCCGGAAGTACTGCTCTGACGTCACTCGACGCAGGCCCGGGTGGTTATCCGGGACTCGAAGCAAGCTCTCTGATTGGTCGAATGATTGTGGCGGGGTTGTGATGTCACAAGTGATGTAATGAGGTTATTGAAATTTAGACTTAAGATTAGTGAATTGTTTTAACCTAGACTTCATTGTGAAGCCCGAATTTTGATAAGAAATTTTAAAAAAACGCAAAAAATAACGGTAAGCTCTATTAATCAAAAAGATGAAATGAAAAAAATACAAATCAAATAGATACAAATCCAAAAGATACTAACTCAACTTAGCATCGACCTGTGTGAACCTCATTCGATCCAACTCCTCAACCAATGGAAGTGTTCGCTTGTGGTTTTGCAGTGCCCTGTCGTGCGATGGATTGAAGGCCAGCGCCTTGCAGTAATGGTGCTCGGCAGTCACAACATCATCCTTGTACAACTCTAAAAATTCTCCATAACTGTTCAAAAGGTCGGAGTGGTGAGGGTCAAGGGCAAGGGCGTGCAAGTAGATCTTAAGGGCTCGCTCCAGTCGACCTTGTTTGGTCATTTCCCGAGCTAGGTTCAATGAAGCTTGTGATTCTGAACTCTTATCTTGATTGTGTTGGTGGTGAACGTTTTTGTGATGTAATGTAACGTAATGTAATGTAATTTCATGTAAAGTAATGTAATGTAATATAATGTAATTAAGTTTTTAGTGATTTGCTGTTAAAATAGTACAAACCTTATAAAAACTTTTAGAATTTTAAACAAATTTTCAACGAAAATCTATTTTGTTCAAAATATTTAAATTATCGTGAATAATAAAATTAATAACATTGTTGTTTTCATGTTCAAATTTAAGGCTAATTCAAAATATAAAATAGTTTAAAACACATGTGGAAATGAATCAAATACACACACGCACACACACATACCACACAAAGAACACTCACACGCACACACACAAGATATGAACGACCAACAACATATGCCACTTCTTAACAATAGCATTTGTATGCAGTTGGGTAGAACTAGACTAGGTGAATAGGCTAACATGTATGCCCTGATTGTCATTGTTTCTAATTTATCAATTAATTAAATCAGAAAATTATTAGATGAATGAACTAATTACAACCATAAAAATAATTTTAAAAAATCAAATAGACTACTAGAGAAACCAACTTTCATTAAAGGACGATGGCAACGAGCTTGAGGAATGTCGAACGATTTCATTTGACTCCTCATCTTTGGACATCGGCGAAGATGATGACGATGAAGAAGATGACGAGGACGGGGATGAAGATGATGGGGATGAAGAAGATGAATCTCTCCCCCGTTGTAGATCATGGACATTTGAACAGAACATAAAATTCCTACCGGGTTGAAATAACGAAACTTTTGCCAAATTGTTGACGCTCCCGCTGTCGTTTTGTTCCAGCAAGAACCAACTGTAAGATGACAATCGGTAATAAACCGACCACATAGGCAGAGCCACGAGCGCGAGCAAAGTTACCGCAAGTCCCAACCTCATCAGCAGTATGTGGCTCTGCTGAGAGTCCAACTCACAGCACTGCCGTGTCATACTATTAACCATGCCAATTAATCTAAATCTAAAGAGGCCACCCATTGAAAAACTGAAACATGAAAGTGGTTTGATTCAAGTTGCGTTCTTTTTTTATAGGAAATTTCGTTGTAACCTTACGTATACAAACATTGTTGTGAGGTGCAACTATGCGTCCGTGCAATCAGCTGACTGTTTATATTATGTAGAGTTTCATCTAAGATACCATATCAATAAGGTATCACATAGTGGTATAGTTTCATCTAAGATATTAATAAAGTATCGAATCATTGTAGTTTTATCTAAGATATCATAGTATAAAGGTATCAAATCATTGTAGTTTCATCTAAGATATCATATCATTAAGGAATCATTGCATTGTTTTATCTAAGATATCATATATCTGTAATCTTATTAAAATTACTTTTTAGCTGATATATAGGTGCTTTTTCTATATAAAACTGAAAACTTTTCAAGTAGATTCTAATATATGAACCGTTCAAGCTTATCAGCAGAATGCCAAAGTATTTTAATGATTTCTGAGATACAGACACATGCAATCAGAAATTTGCAATCATTATAGAAGACGAATAAATGAATTAACATCACACTAGCCTTCTCATCTTTAATCATTTTACATTTAAAACGTATTGATTGAATATTTCATAAAAAGTTTTAATTTTAAAACAAATATACTGACAAAATCTAATAGAAGATTTGATTTACTTTATTGCAATTTGATTCTAACCGACCGCCTTCTACAAAAAGCAATCAATTGATTAATTGAAATTTTATTCTTAAAATACAATAATATTTTATACAGAATGTAACGAATGAATGAAATGAGAAATAGTGAAAAAAAAAACTTGAAACATTAATCAGAAAATATACGTACATGATGACACGGTTTATGAAATGTTAATAGATTAATTTATTCAAAATTAGACATCAAACCAGTGTAAGACTGCACATATAAAGGGCACAAATTAAACGAATAAACTCTTTGCTAAAGCCCAAAAATTAAACAGTACCATCAATGAACAAACGCTTAACAACTAGACAACAAACTTACAAAGTTAAACAATTTGTTAAACAAATAAGTTAAACAAACACGTATCTCAATGAACTACATACGAAAGTAAATTTTGCCACATTGAAAACTTATCGCTTTAAAATTACTCTACAACACAACGAATCCCAACAACGGCAACTAATTTTTTTGTCTGCACAGACAAACAAAACAAATTTTAATTAGCAACAACATAAACTACATAAGACTTGAACTGATCTTAACGCGACTGTTTGTCTTATTAGTATTAGTGCTAGTACAAGTGTTGTTGTTGATGCTGTTGCTTTTGTTGTTGTGGTTGTTGTTGATGTTGTTGTCAATATTTTTGCTATTACAACGATTTTCACCCTCTCCATCATTATCGTCCTCATCGTTGTCACTATCATCATCATCGTCGTCGTAGCAGTGGGCGGATGAGAAAAGGTCATTGAACTGGTGAAGGGTCAAGGTCGTTTCCTCGGAGTTCCTGGTCTCCATGGGCACCCTGGCATCTGTTCTGCTGAGGAGGTGGTGCAGTTTCTCTTCGATGGTGTTCCTCACCAACATGTGGTGGATAAATGTTGGTCTGTTGGTTGTTAGTGTGTGTGTAATTGTGTGTGTGTTTGTTTGTGTGTTTGTTAGTGTGTGTATGTGTTAGTGTGCGTGTGAGTGTGTATGTGTTTTTGTGCGTGTGGCTGTTTTTAAACATTTACCAACCTGGTCTGACCAATCCTGTGGACTCTTCCAACGGCCTGTAACAGCTGGGCGGGGTTTAGGATGGGCTCAACGAAGATGACGTGATTTGATTCGATGAGGTTGAGACCGTTCGAACCTGAGTGGATGGGTAGGAGGAGGCATCTCTGAGTGACGTCCTCTTTGTAGCACTGCAAGTTCTCCTGATGGCGATGATGATGACGATGATGAAATGTTGGGGAAAATTACGATAGTTATGGTAATGATTCTGAAAATGAGAAAATGATGATGATGGTGATGATGATGACGAGAGTACCAAATTGCTAATGTTCATCTCGCACGCCTACCATTTCTTCCTCTTAATAGTGTAACCGTGGTATCATCAGCGCAATCACCATCATCTTCACGAAGATCACCATCACTACCACCACCATCATCATCATCCTCATCACCGTCATCACTACCACGACTGACCACCTACATCAAACTTGTATCTCCTGGTCAAGGACTGATGTTTGACGTCATTTCCGGTTAGTGCTTCGGACACGAGGTCCAACACATCTGACCACTGAATATTTGAAAATATCATACATGCACGTGATACGAATGTACACAAACAAATGTGTACACACAAAACAGTACATACTTACAATTACATGCAAACGTCATTGTATGCTAGAGGTGGCCAAATACCCGGAGGCCAAAATTTGATATTTGGCTTCGTCGGCCATTTGAAAATGTTAACAACCAAATATTGCAATGTATTTCCCGCCATTACAACAATTAAAACATGTAAATTTGAAAAAGGTGATGGAATATTATCTAGATGAAGATATGAACTGTATGTATGCATGTATGTCAACCGTTCATTTCAATAACTTGTTTCTCATTCCAAAGTTCCAAACGAAAATAACTTTTTTTTGTACAAAAATGTGGCCATGCTCTCCATCCCTTAGCAGACATTACGGAACTAACAGTAGAAAAAATAAGTATCTTGCTGCTTGGATCCGCCCCTATGATCTTAAGGACCAGCCTGACCACCTCCTCGATCTTAGTGGACCAATCTCCCTGTCGTGTGACGTCACGTGATATGGGGTCACGTCAGGTCAGGTCACGCCGCGATGTGGGGTCACGTCAGGTCGGGTCACGCGATGTGACGTCACATTGTGTAACGATGTCACGTGATATTTTTTTTTACCTCCGTCACCATTCAAATACAACATCAGATCATCACCATCATTGTAATCACTATTTTAGCCATATCATCATCATCATCATCACACGCTTCGAAATCATTCCACTTATCAATGTCACCATCGTCATTACCATCATCATCACCATGATTTCACCCACCACCATCAACGTCCCCGTGACCTCTCTACGAGCAGACCTTAACAGTGAGATCATCCTCGCCGAAGAGTGACGACGACGATGATTTCGTGCAAACGAACGACACGTCCCTCATCAGAGTTGGCACGCGACACAACGGGCATTTAAATGATGATGATGACGACGACGATGATGATGACGATGATGATAGTAGTGAGGATGAGGATGGCGATCGGTTATGATGATGATGGTGATGATGGTGGCGACGAGGATAAAAATGGTGGCTGGTGTCCTGTGCGAGAATTCTCATGCAGTGCAGACAGAAGCAGTGACCACACTGCATCACGCTCCACTGTGTGGTTGGTTGGTTGAGGAGTTGATTGGTCGGTTTGTCAATCAAATGATTGGTTTGTTGGTTGACTGATTGATCAATCTTAATGACCTAATATAGACCCAATTATATTCAACCAATCACAATCAGTCAATAAAATCTAATCAATTAATTTCAACCAATCACAATCAACCAAGAAATCACAGCTGCCCAATCGCAGTTAACCAGCAGCACTAGCCGACCAATCAGAACGAACTATCTATATGATCCGACCAATGAAAACTCACCTTAGTACCTAGCTTGTTTTGACACACAGGGCACGGGTCAGGATTGGTTGCCCTCGTTGAGGAATTACCGTGGTTCTTTCGGCAGTAAGATATATTATAATTATTAATGATATTATAATCATATTTAAAAGATTATTATGAATAATTACGAGTGATTAAAAAAAAAATTAGAACTACCTTGAACATGTTTTTGAGGTAGTTTAGCTGGCTCTTTTTGTTCTTCAGCTCATTTTCACCCATCATTCGTTCGGTCTTGAACTTCATTCTTACCTCTTTCAACTGCGAGTTCGTAACATCGTTACCATCACAACTTCATCATCAATTTCATCATCATCATCATCACCACCTCATCATCATCATCATCATCATAATCATCACAACCACCACCATCATCTCCGTAACCACCACAACCATCATCATCATCATCAGTAGCAGCAGCAGCAACTAACAGTGTCTCTCTCGACGACGTGATGGTCACCGGGTTGAACCTCCTCCCCCTCCTGCCTCCACCTCATCCTCATCTTCGCCATCATCATCTCATCATACGAGGACACCTTTTCTCTCAGGGCTTGCCACAAAACACGCAGTAACTGTGGATGGATGGATGAGTGGGTGGATGGATGATGAATGAGTGAATGGAGAGGAATGAGTGAGCGAATGAATAAAAACGAATAAAAAGCAAAGTAGCATGACTAGGTAGTAAATGATTGAGTAGTAGACAACATCAAACCAATAATAAAAAAGTTAAAGAGCAAACGAATGAATGAACGAGAGAACGTAGGAGCATTGGAAAGAAAGAAAGAAAGAAAGAATGACAGGTCAAACAACCGGAAAGAGAAACAACCTTGAACTCTCTCTTGGCAGCTTCGTACCAAGCAACATGATGCTGTCCCAATTCTATTAGATGTTTGTCGCCTTTGAATGAGTGTAAACACGTGCGTGTATGTGTGATTGTGTGTGCTTGTTTGTGTGTGAGTCAGTGTGTGTGTGTCTGTGTGTTTGTTTTTTTGTGTGTGAGTCAGTGTGTGTGTGTGTGTGTGTGTGTGTGTGTTTTTTTTTGTGAGTCAGTGTGTTTGTTTGTGAGTCAGTGTGTGTGTGTGTGTGTGTGTGTGTGTGTGTGTGTGTGTGTGTTTGTGTGTGAGTCAGTGTGTGTGTGTGTGTGTGTGTGTGTGTGTTTGTTTGTGTGTGAGTCAGTATGTATGTGTGTCTGTGTCTGTGTGTTTGTGTGCGTGCGTGTGTGTGTGTGTGTAATTCTAACCGGAATGTTTGCTGCCAAAGAAGAGGATAATTTTGAGGCATTTTTCAGTCTCACTGCAGGACCAATTGCCTTTGTGTTGCTGCGCCTTTGTCGCTACGTCATCATCATCATCATCATCACCATCATCATCATCATCATTGACGTGATTATCGTACTTCCTGCCTTTGTCATCATCGTCTTCATCGTCATCATCATCGTTGTTGCCCTTAGTACTTCTATTTCCGTGTTTTTCTAAAACCTGATTGGCTGTCTCCCTGCCAAGTGTCATGATGATGCTGATAAAAATGACGACGACGATGATAATCACACGCACACATACACAAACACTCACGTACGCACACACACACACACATACACACACACACACACGCAAGCACACACTTACTTGTCTTTGAATGCAAATAAGTAGGTCTCATAGGCTTCAAACAACTTGTGGGCTTTGCAGAAAGGGCATCTTAATTAAATGATGTCATCATCATTATCACCATCACCCCATCACCATCATCATCACTATCATACTTGTTATATTTGGTGGTAGCGAGTGGCCTCAAGCAGCACTGAACTGTCTGCCCCACCAAATCTTCAATGATGAAAATAATGGTGAAGACGACGACGACGATGATGATAAGGCGAATGATGACGATGATGGCAGAGATGATGGTAAGGTTGATGAGGTTGGTGCAGCAGTAAAGGGTGACGATGAAGATGAGTGAGATGGTGATGATGAAGAAGAGGATTGAGATGAGGACGTCGCTGACGATGGTGGTGGGGATGGTGGTAGCAGCAAATGTGGCGAACATGATGATGATGTTTTTGTTGCTGTTGATAATGATGATGATGTCGCCGATGATGATGATGATGAAAAGGAGGCGGAGTCTGACGACTGATTGATTGAATCCAATAGGTTGACCAGTGTCGACCGGCAGTTGTTCAATCGATTGATGTTCTCGTGCAGAACGTACTTCAAACCTCTGACGTCACGGAACCTTACAAATGACGTCATCGTCATCGTCATCAGCATCGTCATCGTCATCATCAGCGGCAACAATTTTTAATGATTGCAGAGAAATCGCGATAATAACAGTATAAGTTCAATTGAACTTTCAAGTTTTCAGAAAAAATAATATATGAATGATACTATAAAAAATGAATGAATGAATGAATGAATGAATGAATGAATGAATGAATGAATAAGTGAACGAACGAATGAATGAATAAATCTATCTATTACAAAATCGATCAACCAATCAAACAACCTGCTTATGAACATAGACCCCTGCGCGTTATCTGATAGGTCAGTTTGAATTCTATTGATGAGGACCTCGTCCAATCGCAGTCCTGCAATCAACTTCAACAATCCCAGCCACCAATCATACGGACTTTCCATCTGTTGCGTGTGCGTGTGTGCATTTGTATGCGCATGTGTTTGTGTGTGTGTGTGTTTATTTGTCTCTGTATGTTTTTACGTGTGTGTGGGTGTGTGTCCGTCGACAGCATTTATCATAAATAATTAATAATTATCACATTCAGTCCCACCCCCGAACCAACCTGATTGGTCAGCTTGTGGACCGTCTGCATTTGATTGACACATGCCAACTTGGTCTTCATAACGAACACCTCCCTCCTACGCATGTATCTGCACTCGTGCTCGCGTTTCTGTGGTAGTGGCCATGGTAGTGGTGGCGATGGTGGCCGCGATAGTAGTGGCGGTATGGAAGTGGCAATGGTAGTAGCGATGGCAGTTATGAAATGAAAAAAATGCTAACAAAATTATCATTAGTACTCTCGTACCACAACAACAACAGCAGCAACAACAACAACAACAACAACAGAACAACAACAGCAGCAACAACAACACAACAGCCTCCCACCATCAATGGCAGTTGGTCGTCACGCAACGTTCTACCAATTTGTTGTTGAAAATGACTCTGAGACGATGACGTTGTTGATGTTGATGATGGTGTTGTTGTTGATGTTGATGATGATGTTGTTGTTGGCGATGATGATGATGATGTTGTTGTTGATGATGATGATGTTACTGGTGGTTGAGTGAGTAGGGTGATGAGGTTGTGTATGGTGTGGATGAGCTGGAGAGAGTCGATCCTCATCTCATCATCCTTGTGCTTCTCATTCATCATCAACACATCCCGGTACTCGTTCACCGCTCCAACGATCTGATGGTGATGGTGATAGTGGTGATGATGGTGGTGATGATGATAGTGATGATGATGATGATGGTGGTGATGATGGTAAAGACGATGATGATGTTGGTGATGTTGGTGATGATGATGGTGAAGACGATGATGATGTTGGTGATGTTGGTGATGATGATGGTGAAGACGATGATGATGGTGATGATCATGGTGATGATGACGGTGATGATGATGATGAAAAAGATGATGATGACAATAACAAAAACATTAACAACAATAATAACATCACCATCAACAACATTAACAACACCATCCCCATCAACAACAACAACAGCAGCAGCAAACATCAACAACAACAACACCACCCCCATCAACAACAACGACATCAACAACATCAACATCAACATCAACAACAACAACAACAACAACATCATCAACAACAACGACAACAACAACAACAGCAACAACAACAGCAACAACAACAACAACAGACATCATGTTCGAGCAAGGAGCATCCAGCCATCCCATTGGACGCCCTCACAATCCCTCTCATTGCCTCCTCACACTCCACCCTCGTCCGCTTTATCAGCTGGCTCAACAACTGAGACATCGTCAGGGTGCTGTGTGGATGGATGGATGGATGGAGAAATGAATGAATGGATGAATAAATAGATGGATGGATAAATTGATGGATGGATTGGATATAGAAGGACAAACGTGTGGATGTGGTTTGGATATGGAAAAAAAATAACGAAAACGAAAGAATTATTATCCAAAAAGAATACAACAACCAAACAGCAACTAAACAACAACAAAACAACAACAACAAACGAAACAAAAAGCCAAACAGCTCCAATAATGTCGAACGTTTTATTGATAGAGATGAACTGTCCCTTGACAACTTGCGGGTGCACACATGCCTGCCTGATCTTCAACAGTGGAGTCAGCAGCTGTTAATCAATCAATCAATCAATCAATCAACCAACCACAGTCAATCAATCAATCAACCACAGTCAATCAATCAACCACAGTCAATCAGTCAATCAACCAATCGATCAATCAACCAACCAATCAATCAACATCTCAATTAATCAATCAACTATCAAACACCAACCAACCAACCAACCTGATGTAATGTGTTCTTATCCAATGAACTTAGTTGGATGTTCAAATCGCTTTGTGCTTTCATTCTCTATACATTTTATACATTTCAATCGAGTTCATAATAATAATAATAATAATAATAATAATAATAATAATAATAATAATAATAATAGGAAACTCTTTTATTTCAACCAAAGTCGTTAAAATGAAAAAAAAATGTGCAAAACGGTAATGTATTCAAATTGGTTATGAAGTGTTCCTATCGCAATAAATGACATAGGTCAATCTAATTATAGAGTCTATTAATTTGTTAATAAATGAAATCGGCCATGAATTTTAATTAGCGTCAAATTAAAAAATATTGAAAAAGCCAATCGGAGTTACTTCGAATGTTTTTAAAGAAATTGAACAGTTCTTAAAGTCAGCGTTCAGACATGAATTAAAACTATTTTCCTATTTCGATAGATTGTAGTTTCTTGATTTTAGCAGATTTGTTTCATGGCACACCGTTAACTCGATAATTTCAATTTTGCGGTTGTAATAATAATAATAATAACGTATAATAATAATAATAACAACATATAATTATTAATAATAACAACTGAGTCGTATTTAGAAGTGTAGAAGTCCGGAAGCAATAAAATCCTATAGTAATTATTTTTATTATTAAATCATACTATATTATATTATAAAATATAATTATAATATTATATTATATCATATTATATTATATTAGAAAATATATATAATAATATATTATAATAATTTCTGCAACAAAGCCATAGAAAAGAAAATCCAATAGAAGTCAGCGTCGTCAATGAACTGATAAATAAGACTGAATATTCACGCGATGAAGCTAGGTTGGTTTCGCGGCAAATTGTGAGCTCTAAAATTTCGATTTTGTTTTTTTGGAGAATGGCAATGTCCGGCCGCAACTTGTCGAACAACTGTGACATTGGACGCACACTTTCTACATTAAGATCGGCAAATAGGCAACAGTCTGAGGGTGCACAAATCTTCAACCAGTCGACAACCGACGACAGCAGTTTGTTATGCCTGTCCATCTGTGTACCTGGCGAGAGCCGCTGTGGAGTCACAGTTCGAAACAACATGTTTGTCTGTTTGGTGATGACTGCATAGTGGACATAGAATCTTGTTGACTTGCTCCATTAAAATAAGTTTGCATCAGTGGGAAGCCGTTGTATTAAATAATTTCTAGTAAACTTAAAGAGGAGCACCTCCGGTAATCCTTCGACGATCTTCGACCAACACAGCCACTGATGTCTGTGATGGGGGAATGGGCCCATTTATTGCTTTAATTAACAAACCTTGACACCGGAGAGTGGACACATGGTTGAGGCTGGATGCAATTCTTGTCTCTTCCGGCCAGCAATTTGAGTGACTGTTTCGCCGAGCCTGACTCCGCCAGCGTTCTATCAACTTTTTCGAAATTAGTTGATGTTTCGCGCCACAGACAAACAGTTTCATCGATGCTGCTCTTGATTTCAAATTATTTCTGATTTTGAATTTTGAGAGCCTTCTCGGATGGCAAATGAAAAAAAAGAGAGAAGAAGAACTGTTTCAACTGGGGAGGCAACATGCAATGGAGTGAGTGAGTGTGGCGAGTGGTGTGCGTTGCATCATCATCAGCATGACTAGAACCAAGATCATCATCTTTACTATCATTACTACCATCGTCATTGTTACCATCACCTCCATCATCACCACCATCGTCATTGTCATCATCATCTCCATCATCATCATCATTACCATCATCACCATCATTACCACCATCGTCATCGTCCTCACCGTAAGTGCTTCATCGGAGCACTTTTGATACATCCTCCTGTAGAAATGTTCCTCGACAGGTGAGAATGTGAGTAGGTGGGTCTTGATGGATTGTGGGGGAAGGTTAATCTGTGGTGGTGGTTGTGGTGGCGACGAAGTGAGTCAGCAGACACAACTGATCAACGACCGACTAACCTGATCAATGACGTCCCTCTTACAGTTCCTCCACAGCAATCGACTGATGACCCAGCACGGATGCTCCCTCAACCCCCCCTCATAGGCCCCTTGCATGAACTTGCTCCACAGAGTTCTATCGTCGTAGGGGCAGGCGCGCAAAAAACTCAGCAGGCCGTACAAGTCTGTGTGAGATTAGGATGGTGGTGGTGGTGACGGACGATGAAGGGTGTGGTGGTGTGATGGGGGTACGAAAGCGTGGCGTTGATGGGGCTGAGATTTACGTGGCGGTCGTTGTGACTTCGACATTGGTCATTTCAATCCTCATATTTAACATCAGAACCACAGAGTTCAGCATTCTCTCGCCATCATCATCGTCGTCCACACACACACACCACACACACACACACACCACACACACACATACATGCACACAGAACGGTAAAACTCCACAACACAACCCACCATCAAATGATCTTTGGATGGGGGTACCGGTAATGCACCATCGAATCTGGCTCACCAATCTACATGCCATATCAGCCGGCTGATTCAACGTACAATTGTGTGTGCGATTATTGGTTGTATGTATGTATGTATGTATGTATGTATGTATGTATGTATGTATGTATGTATGCAACCTGTTCATTTGAATAACCTTAGTGGAAACTTTCTCTACCATTTGAGCTTCATCCAAACACACCTGGAAAAAATTACTATTGTTATCATCTTCACCATCATCATCACATTCATAATCATCATCATCACCAGCATCATCATCATCCTCATCATCATCATGACTATCGAAACTGACCCTCCACCACTCAAGAGCCACCAGAGGTGTGGGGAACGAGATGAACTTTTTGTTGTACCTCAATTTGTTATTCTCATCAACTGTTTGTTTGTTTGTTTGTTTGTTTGTGTGTGCGCATGTTTATTTGTTTGTTTGTATGTATGTTTGTTTGTTTGTTTGTGTGGTTGTATGTTTGTGTGTTTGTACGTTTGTGTGTATGTATGTTTGTTTGTATGTATGCATGCATGCATGTTTGTTTGTTTGGTTGGATGTTTGTATGTATGTATGTTTGTTTGTTTGTTTGTATGTACGTTTGTATGTATGTTTGCTTGTTTGTTTGTATATTTGTATGTATGTATGTTTGCTTGTATGATGATGAATGATAATGATGAAGATGATGATGGTAATGATGATGATAAAAAAGACCACTGACATTTATTATGCAGAAGACCGACGTATTTCATCTCAGCCCTCAGGGTCTCGTAGGTCGTCAGGACGATGTCCTGTCGGGCCAGTACCCTCGGTTGGATGTACCCCTGCCTCTGCACACCCTTGTACACCTGGGTCATCATCATCATCATCATCATCGTCATCGTTACCATCATCATCGTCATCGTCGTCATCATCGTCATTGTTACTATCATCATCATCATCATCATCATCATCATCATCATCATCATCATCATCATCATCGTCATCATCATCATCATCATCATCATCGTCATCATCATCATCATCGTCGTCGTCATCATCATCATTGTTACAATCATCATCGTCATCGTTACAATCACTGTCCTTGTCATCATTATCAGTATTCTCATCAGCGCGACTAACAAACAGCTTGATGGCTTCATCAGCCACGTGCTTCAAAACCTCATCCAGCCACTGATGTATGATGGAGTTGGGTGTGATGATAAGGGTGGCACCGCTTGGAATGGGAATCTGTTTGTTCGTTCGTTCGTTCGTTTGTATGTTTGTTTGTATGTATGTTTGTTTGTTTGTATGTTTTTTGTGGTCATTGTGTTGATGAGAATGAGAACTATGATGACGATGATGACTCTATGACTAAGATGATGATGATGAATCTATGATTATAATGATGATGATAAAGCAATCGATGGCCAATCGATTCACTTTCTGTCGATTCCCTTCAAATAATTTTGCAACCTGGCGGTCTTCATCCAGTTGAGACCTGCCTTTGAAGTCGGTCGGAACCTCGTAAATAATAATAACTGAGAAGATAGAAAGAAGTTCCAGCGAGAAGAATCGAAAAGTTCAAAATCTGACTCGGAATAAAAACGTCCAACAGTGAAAATGGTGAGAATTGGTAGATGATTGGCTGGATAGATGCGGTCACTGCAGATTTTTGGTGATAAAATGATGATGAAGATAATGATGATGATGATGATGATGAAGATAATGATGATGAAGATTGTTGCCAACCTCAGTGACGTAACAATGGGGGCATAGATACGACCCCCTCGACTCGTCAGTCAGGTCGTACCCGACGCAACCTGCATGCTGACACGAGCCGCACTTCTCGCACGACACAATTATTTTATTTAGGTCAAGTCTTGCGTTCTTGTGACCTACTTTGTGCTGTTTGAACATCTTGCCGCAGGAACAGTCAATTGCTTCTGCGCTGGTGAAGTGTTGCTGGAACGAAAGGAGTTCCTCGGTGAAGGATTCGTTGACGTCATTGTCGATCCGTCCGTTGTTGCTGATGTTGCCTTTGTTGCTGCTGATGCTGACTACTCCAACGTCACCGCCATCGTCCTCACGGTCGTCATCGTCGTCGAAATCGCTACACTCGTTTCGTACGGTCACCTCATTGATGATGACGTCATCAACAGCCATGAATTCGCTGACGTCATCATCGGCTCCTCCGTCATCAACTACTATGACGCTGTTGTTATTGCCGCTACTGCGACTCACATCACATTTTATATCACAAAGAAATGATGATGATGGTGGTGACGACGATGATGAGTTTGTGGTTACTGATGATGATGATGACGATGACAATGATGATGTTGGTCCCAATAAATTGGACGATGTTGTTGTTAATGACAGTTCACTCAGAGACACTGTTGTCATGACAGATGATGATGATGATGATGATGATGATGATGATGAGCCTGATGATGTTACTGATGATGATGTTACTGATGATGATGTTACTGATGATGATGATGATGATGATGAGCCTGATGATGTTACTGATGATGATGTTACTGATGATGATGATGATGATGATGAGCCTGATGATGTTACTGATGATGATGTTACTGATGATGATGACCTCGCTTTTGTAGATTTTATTGATAAGAACATTTCGGGAGACGTTGCTGTCGTCGGTGAAATTGTCGTTGACAAAACATCATTAGTACAACCAGTAGTAGTGGAAGTAGCCACAGTAGCCACAGTAGTAGAAGCGGTAGTAACTATAAAACTGGAATTAGCAAAAGCGTTATAATGAGAAAGAACTTCACTAGATGTAACAGTAGAGGTGGCAGTTATGAAAGTGGTAGTAGCAGCAGTCTTAGAAGTAGCTGCAGCAGCAGCAGCAGTAGTAGTAGTAGTAGTGGCAGAGGTAGTAGTAGAAGTAAAATTAGTAGTAGAAGTAGTAGTAGTAGTTAGCCTGATAACTTCACCGTGTGGCAATATGTGGCCAGCGTACTTGCGAGCACTTTTTCGTTTCGTTCTCTTGAAAAACGTTAATTAAAAATTATCATCCTTATGATTCATAATATGAAAATTACTGCTACTACTACTCTTACTACTACTACTACTACTACTACTACTACTACTACTACTACTACAACTACTACTGCTACTACTACCATTATTATTGTTGTTTTTATTATTATTACTATTATTATCGCAATTATTATCGTTTCGTTATTTTCGTCAATGTTGTCGTTTTGTTATCTTAGTTGAAAATAAAGCTACATAAAAAAAAGATTAATAACATGTAACACGATATTACGAAGAAGCACACACACCGACAGACAGACAGACAGACAGACAGACAGACAGACAGACAAACAACAACCTTCAAAATTTTAGTTCTACCGCTAGCAACAACAACAGGAAGTGGATTCGTGGTGGTCACGTGATTTCGAGGATGGTGGAGTATGCAGGCCAGCATCTCAATCGTCTTCCCTAATCCCATCTCGTCCGCTAAGATTCCGCCACGAATATCATGACGACGATGATGATGATTGTGATGATGATGATGATTGTGATGATGATGATGATTATGTGGGTTGTTGTTGTTGGTGATGACAACACCATCAATCTTTTCCAAAGGCTTGTTCCAAATCATTCTGAATTGCATTGTTATGAAAGATTGCATTGTATTTATGAGGTATTTCATCTAGTTTAGTTTGCCTGTTTAGTTTGCCTGGCATAAGAGTTATTTGTAATAAAAAAAGCTGTTTTTAAAAAAATTTCCAAGGTTTCAGACGCAGAGTGTCCGTTGTGGTTGTGAATGTATTGGTAGAAATAGTTTTGAAAATTTTTCCATACAATCAAACGCCAATTTCAAAAGTTCATAAAAAATCTTTGCAAAAAAAAGAACCTTAAACTCGTTAATTCGAAAATAAAAAATTCAGTCAGCAGAACAACTTAATTGTGTAAAGTTTAATTAAAAATAAATTAGGTAATTTAAAAGAAAAATTGAATCCAATCAGATAAACTTTTAAACTAACATTCCTAAAGTAGGATTGTAAAATACTTGGGTTCCATCCTTCAATGTGATTGGCTGGTAGAATTTGTCTGATTTGAATGGCGTGAGATGGTTGGCTAATTATTAAAGTTTACACATTATGAAAAGTAATCGATGATTGGTTGATGAAGTTTAATTAATAAGCAAAGTTTTTAACTGTTGGATGACGAGAAAATGTTAAAATGATTGCAGACCAGCCTTGAATCAAAACAACGTGACGATAATCACAATCAGACGATTTTTTCCTAAATTTTACAGCTCTCGAATGTTTTTGGTTAAGAATTTTCACTCAAAATAAAATAACAAAACTTTAAAAGATCGATTAATTTGGTGTTAGCCAACTTTTTAAAATAAAATTATCATCGAATGCTAAATAACTGCCAACGCGAAATTAGCACGACCAATGTGTCAGCTTCTTTTTAACGTATCCTAACACAAGTGCGGTTGATGTGAGGTCAGAGGTCAGGGCCACACGCAGGCGTTCAAATAGTTAAAGTATTTATCCGTCATCACAGTTTCCGATGGGTCATAGGTCATATTGCAAAGTTTTATTGAACCCCAACCCTAACCATTTAATAACTCATTATGACTTTGCAATTATTTTACTATCTTAATGTCCAACTGCATGTACTATATATACTCTTTACCTCCATTCAATTTTTTAACATCCCTGACAAAGCCACAATCGGCGAAAAGTTGGATTAATAACAAAAATTTGTCAAAAAAACGAGTTTGATCTTGTCTTGTGGTTCAATTGTGTACGGTTACATTAGTGATAGACGCATTAAGGTACCGCAATCTTAAATATGTTTAACCCGGAGATCATGGTCACGCTCACTTCCATACTTATCTCACACATTCCAACAATGTGTTTTTAAGCAGCTGACTCATCTCACCTATGAGATTTTTTACTGCATTCATTGCTGGTCTAGTGCAAGCTACGAATTAGCTGATTAATTTTCAACATTTTTGGCAACGATGGAAGTGACGAAATAGGAAGATGGTTGTGATATGGAAAATGGTTGTTGTGGTGAGAAGATTTGTGATGAAAATGATGATGAAGATAACGACGATCGTGTTAATTATATATAAAAAAAGATGATTTGAAAACAAACAAACTCAAAAACTCTAACCATAGAAATCAGTAAGGAGATCCTCAACATCGGGCATGCCACAACAGCCACACGTATCGTCGCAACTACCATCACCACAACTACTTCTACTACTACTACTACCACCGATCTCATCATTATCACCACCACCATCATGGTCATCATCATTGCACTCCATCCATCCCTCTCTTCTGAGCATCCACTTGACAGCTTCAACTTGGTAGCATCTCAGTTGTGGGAGGAGGTGGTGTGGTTGCATGTTTCGTGGGTGGCCGTGGTGGTCTGTCGAGGATGGATGGATTGATGGTTTAGAAAATAAACGAACAAAAGAACGAACAGGCAATTCTTTTATGAATGGTTCATTAAAGAACGAATGAACGAACGAACAACTAATGGCCAAACGGCTAACAACTAAACAAATAAAACGAGTGGAAGGATTGAGTTTAGAACAATGAACCAATGAAAGAACAAATAAACAAACACTGAACAATTGAACAAACAAATGAACAATGCTTTATAAATGTCTTCATAAATGGGTGGAATTGTGGTTTGAAGAATGAACAAAAGAACAAATGAACGAACGAACAAACGAACGAACGAACCAGTGAACAATAATGGCGGTCTTTCATAAATAGATAGATTGATGGTTGGTTGGTTGGTTGGTTGGTTATAACAAAACTGATTGAACAGTCCATTAAACGAATTCCAGAAAAATAGAATAACCAGATAGAAAATAAATAAACTAACTAAATAAAAAAAATTAAATAAATAAATCGAAAAGGAATTAAATAAATAATAAAAATCAAAAATAATATAAATCTGAAGAAAAAAATAGCAAAGCAAAAGCCACTCCGCCACTAACCCCAGTGCTGTTGTTGTTGTTGTATTTTTTTAATGTCATCATACAAGACATCAAATTCGTTCATAGATGTCAAATTATTGTTGTTGTTGTTGATGGTAATGTCATTGTTATTATTATTATTATTGTTGTTGGTGGTGGTGCTTTTGTTGTTGTTGTCGATGTTGTTGTCGTTAGAAGAGAGGTAGTTTTTTTTAGCGAAGTTGTTGTGGATGTTGTTGTGGCTGTTGTTGATGCTTTTTATTTTATCTTCGTTGTTATTGCTGTTTTTGTTGCTGCTGCTGATGTTGTCGCCATCAACCTCATCATCATCATCATCATCATTTTTATGATCTACGAAATTGTACATGTAATATTAAGAACATGTACACTGCAGGAATCTCACATCTCCGGCCACACTTTAAACGCTCCAGCCACATTTGAAACGCTCCAGCCACACTTCAAACGCTCCAGCCACACTTCAAACGCTCCAGCCCTATTTCAAACGCTCCGGTGACATTTTAAACGCTACGACTACAGTTCAAACGCCTCGTGATTTTCTCAAATCATTTTTCATTTATTGGACCGGATTGAATGACGCTATATCAATTTAAGAAGTTCTTTCAGTTTGACACAACTTTGATTTAACTCGATCGGCGGATGGTATCGCTCTTAGCATGCATTCGTCATTCAACTTCACTCTCAAACACACCCTCTCTCTTTATATCAGATACTCTCCAGCAAAACATGAACGCAAAGTTAGTTCTTATCATTATTTTTATAGCCTGCAATTTGACTGACCTTGGATATCAAATAATTAGAAAACCACAACAATTAGCAAGATAATTAAACTGAGTGGCGAATTTTCAAATTTGAGTAGCATATTCTCCCAATGGCCATATCGCTTTTTGATTTTTCATTGAAAATTTGAAGAAAATTGATCGAGTTGCCCTTAAAAATTGGCAATCCTGTAACCTAATGCTTTGGTTTTATTTTCACATTGGCTATTAATAATAAGAAGCCAACAAAACATAGGATAACAAAGTTATGGCAGAATTTCTGCAAAAGACACTTAATATTTGTATTATTCTATTATTTATTATTATTATTTATTTTTATTATTTTATTATTTGCATAATTTGCATTATTCTATTATTATTTATTATTATTATTTATTATAATTAATTTATTATTTGAATAATTTTTTAAAATTTTGATAAAAGAAAACATTGTAACAAAAAAAATACAGTGTACGAATTCTGTGCTACATTTCGCTTTTTAATAATAATATATGTAGGATAATTAAATTGAATGAATAATCCTAAAAAAATGAAATAAAATTCCAACCTAAATTCCTAACGATAGGATGAACGTCATAGAAGTGGGACATGATGGTTTGTAGGGATGTGTTGAATTTCCTTAGGATAACAACATTTTCGCTGGACCCCTCTGAGACGATGCTTCGAGGAATGAAGATGTCGATTGTTAGTTTTGTTGTTGTTGATGTTGTTGTTGTGTTTGTTGATGGTGCTGGTGTATAGTTGTTGGTGGTGTCATCTGTTTTGTATGTTGTTGTAATTGTTGTTGGATCTGTGTTGTTGTTGTTGTTGATGATGCAATTTTTAGTAGGTAGCATCATTTCTGTTGATGTTGTTGATAAGACTGCTGGTGAAATTACATTACTCTTAGTGTTGCTGTAAACATTGTTGTTGTTGTTGCTGTTGTTGTTGTTGATGTTGTTGTTGATGTGATCAACATTGCTGTTATTGGTTTTCCTAAAAAAAAATTGTTGTTAAAATATTAATATATTCATGCTATTAATACTTAAAATAATAACTCTTTACCTCATCCTTAATATGAAATCCTTTGATGATTGCAAGGCTTCAACTAAGGTTGAGGGTAGGTCAACATGTATTGAGAAACACATATTCTGTTGTGTGCGAGTGTGTTTGAGTGTGTGTTTGTGTGACTATGTTGTGTGTTAGTGTGTGTGAGTGTGTTTGTATGAATGTGTGTGTGTGAGTGCGTTTGTATGATTGTGTGTGTGTGTGTGTGTGTGTGCGTGCGTGTATAAGTGTATGAATGTGTGTGTTTGTATGAATGAGTGTATGTGTGTGTTTATGCGTTTGAATGAATGTATGCGTGTCTTTGAGACGTGTTTGTGTATATGTAAGT